GGATACTACACGTTAAACACGTTCCATCTACTCGTATTTCGTATTTTCCTGTCTTCGAGCCTTTGAAGCGTTCGTCCAACGGGGAACGTTTCTTTTGAAATTTATTATTCATACCTCGTAAACGAGTGGAAGATACGCCGAAAGGGCCAAAGGTACGAGAACACAGTAATAGAGAGAATACGAAGAATGAAACGGAGAAGAGAACTATGGCCCCGTTCCCAACAGGGATAAGTTTAACTGGCTAATCAAGAAAGTAACCAACGTAATACCCAGCAACGTTCAATAGAAAGTAAACCGGCAACATCTACAACTCTGGCGATAAGTCTTGGTACATTCGAGGGTGGAACGCATTATTCTTATTGCACCCATCGCCTCCGTGAACCTAGGGGGATGCATCACCAGCGAAAATGTACATACGTATGTATATGTGTGCGCATATACACGTTATACGTTCTGACTAGGCAGAACAAGAAACATCATTCATAACAAAACTAATTCTAAAACGATGGTGTTATAAGGGAGGATGAGCGGTGTAAGTAATGCGGGCGGTGAGTCGCCGTTTATAATCGGCTGCTGAAACTGCGAGAATGTTCATGCCCCGTGATTGTATTATGCAGGTCGCCTGGATGAAGTCCGATTCGAAAGCTATCCTGGCCATTCATACGCACATGGTCGCTCCAAACCCACGGTTGTCTGTCACTCACAATGGACATAACACGTGGAAACTGCACGTGACCAACGTCCAACCGAACGACTCTGGCACGTACATGTGTCAAGTTAATACGGATCCTATGAGAAGTCAGGTTAGTATGTACGTCTTCGTGTCTGATTATTAAACCAGCATGTACGCTCGGTTCCATACCTTGCTGGTCCCGCGTACAAATATATACATATATATATATATGAATTACGCGAATGATCGTCAATTGTTTTCGGCCTTGTTTTCTTTCCTTTTTTTTTTTTTTTTTTTTTTTTTTTTAGATCGTTCCGACATTATTATTGTACAACGGAATACGAACGAGGGGGAGACGATTCGAATTAATAGATTCGATAACGTTTGCTGCATTACCGTCGATTGTGACCAAACCGCGGTTGTCGCCAGTCGGAAACATTACTATCGAAAGGAATGACCGTCGATAAAAATCGGCAGAATTGAATACAAAATTTCGACGGGACGAAAGCGCGCGAAATAAAATGAAAGAGAGAGAGAGAATAAAATATGATACGGAGTTTTGTTGTTTTCGGTTGTTATTGTCGGAACTGGTCGATCGATGTGCACTGTGTATATATATATATATATATATATTTTTTTTTTGTTCCCGATGATAAACCTAGATTAAAGGCAAGTCTCAACGCTGAAGCAGTCGTGTTTGTTGAGGTTGTTGAATCCGCGGGTTAAGCTTGATTTAAATGTTTCGAGGCGGAAACTGGGAACAGTAGATTGGGTCGGTACGAGCCAGGCTAGACTTCTCCGCCGGCAGACAAATGGTGGTATATGATAGTTCGTTACGATCTTTGCGCAGACTGGTCATATGAAGGTACTGATACCGCCCGATATCACGGATTTGGACGACTCGGCTGACCTTCTAACGCCAAAAGAGAACAGTGATCTGCGATTACGATGTCGGGCAACGGGAACACCGGAACCCGTGATAACTTGGCGGCGAGAAGACGGACAAAATATTACTCTGCGGACGGAGCACGGCGTTCAACGAGGTAACATGTCCCAGCATTGTAATTTCTGGCAGTTTGCATCGTTGACACCACGCTGATTTCAACTATCCTGACTAATTAAATCGGCGTGCATTCAATCATCATTTACGATCTTTACTTTTAACGACGTATAGATGCTATTGCTTGGATATTCGGATATTATTTATTTAATAAGGAAGGAAGCTTCGATCTTTTAACGAAAAATACAAAATGGAGAATGGACGCTTATTGTCCTTTAAGAAGGATTATCCTTGTGTGACTTTCAATTCCTGATTCAAGGAAGTCTTTAGCCCGTATTTCGAACACACGTCGAAAACGACAGGAGATGCGGATGAAACGAGGATGCGATAAATCGTTTGTAGAAACGAGATATAATACAACACAGTGTAATCTGACAAGGAATCTGCTATATATCGCAGCACATAGAAAATTACATAGTTGTTTTTAAGTACCAGAAGAGATTCCAAACTTTCGAACGATAACGTGCTCATAATCGTTTGAAAGGGAATTGATATATATATATATATATATTAAATTATTATTAAAAAGCATCTGATTTGCATGAATTAAAATCCTGTTGCCTGGTGATTACAAAGAAAGATGCATAAATGAATAAATCACATAAGTGGCCCAAGTATTTCAATGCTGTTCCGTTTCACGCAACGAGATGTTCATTGAACGTATCAACGTAAAAGCGCGATCCCGTCTGGTCCATTGCATTCTGTAGAAAATCAACCAGCCGATTAGCCTTTCTAACAGTGAGTGATGGATGTTGACTTTACATATATTTCCTCTTCGCCGACCCCATCGATTCGCATACCCGATTGCAATATTCGCTGTGTACACTGCGCCGCGAAAGTGTCTACCACTCAGAAATCTATATCGTTCGCCGGCGATTCGACGATCTTCCCCAAAACGTATCATAGGGGAGTATTCTCGTTGTTTCGTGTGGCTCCCTTAATGACCTCGACTCGGACCCCCGTGCACCATATCCCATGGAAACCGTAATAAAAATTTTATGTATCGGATATTGAAACGGAATATACGATTAAACGTTTCGTATATTGATGAAATATATATATATATAAGAGATTAGAGCGATAGAACGGAGCTAACTTTTTAATGAAGATGATTTAGAGCGGAATAGAAATATTAATTCGAATACGAATAATTAATGTTTCGATTCATTTGTCACGGCTCTCATTATAAATAGATCGTTGTGTTTAAGACGTTCCGTGCCATGTGTACCAGCGGTGGTACACGTTAAACTTCATCTTCAGGCGCAGTCATATTTATTTAATTTATTTATTTTTTGCAATCGATCTGATCGCAGCGCCACGTGTACCACAAGTGGTACACGATGTGATAGCATCTA